TTGACTTAAATCGGCTTAAACATCTATGGCAAGACTGGAAAATGGCTGTCTAGCATTGATCAACAACCAACTTGACAGAGCTTGAAGAATTTAAAAAAGAATAATGTGCATTGTACAATCCAGGTGTGCAAAGCTCTTAGAGATAACTGTATTTCATTTTCAATACATTTGCAAACATTTAAAAAAAAAAGTTTTCACTTTGTCATTATGGGGTATTGTGTGTAGATGGGTGAGAAAAAAACATCTACAGTGCCTTGTAAAAGTATTCATCCCCCTTGGCATTTTTTTCCTATTTTGTTGCATTACAACCTATAATTTAAATTGATTTTTATTTGGATTTCATGTAATGGACATACACAAAATAGTCCAAATTGGTGAAGTGAAATGAAAAAAATAACTTGTTTCAAAAAATAAATAACGGAAAAGTGGTGCGTGCATATGTATTCACCCCCTTTGCTATGAAGCCCCTAAATAAGATCTGGTGCAACCAATTACCTTCAGAAGTCACATAATTAGTTAAATAAAGTCCACCTGTGTGCAATCTAAGTGTCACATGATCTGTCACATGATCTCAGTATATACAGTGGGGAGAACAAGTATTTGAAACACTGCCGATTTTGCAGGTTTTCCTACTTACAAAGCATGTAGAGGTCTGTAATATTTATCATAGGTACACTTGAACTGTAAGAGACGGAATCTAAAACAAAAATCCAGAAAATCACATTGTATGATTTTTAAGTAATTAATTTGCATTTTATTGCATGACATAAGTATTTGATCACCTACCAACCAGTAAGAATTCCGGCTCTCACAGACCTGTTCGTTTAAAAAAAAGAAGCCCTCCTGTTCTCCACTCATTACCTGTATTAACTGCACCTGTTTGAACTCGTTACCTGTATAAAAGACACCTGTCCAAACACTCAATCAAACAGACTCCAACCTCTCCACAATGGCCAAGACCAGAGAGCTGTGTAAGGACATCAGGGATACAATTGTAGACCTGCACAAGGCTGGGATGGGCTACAGGACAATAGGCAAGCAGCTTGGTGAGAAGACAACAACTGTTGGCCCAATTATTAGAAAATAGAAGAAGTTCAAGATGATGGTCAATCACCCTCGGTCTGGGGCTCCATGCAAGATCTCACCTCATGGGGCATCAATGATCATGAGGAAGGTGAGGGATCAGCCCAGATCTACACGGCAGGACCTGGTCAATGACCTGAAGAGAGCTGGGACCACAGTCTCAAAGAAAACCATTAGTAACACACTACGCCGTCATGGATTAAAATCCTGCAGCGCACGCAAGGTCCCCCTGCTCAAGCCAGCGCATGTCCAGGCCTGTCTGAAGTTTGCCAATGACCATCTGGATGATCCAGAGGAGGAATGGGAGAAGGTCATGTGGTCTGATGAGACAAAAATAGAGCTTTTTGGTCTAAACTCCACTCGCCGTGTTTGGAGGAAGAAGAAGGATGAGTACAACCCCAAGAACACCATCCCAACCGTGAAGCATGGAGGTGGAAACATCATTCTTTGGGGATGCTTTTCTGCAAAGGGGACAGGACGACTGCACCGAATTGAGGGGAGGATGGATGGGGCCATGTATCGCGAGATCTTGGCCAACAACCTCCTTCCCTCAGTAAGAGCATTGAAGATGGGTCGTGGCTGGGTCTTCCAGCATGACAACGACCTGAAACACACAGCCAGGGCAACTAAGGAGTGGCTCCGTAAGAAGCATCTCAAGGTCCTGGAGTGGCCTAGCCAGTCTCCAGACCTGAACCCAATAGAAAATCTTTAGAGGGAGCTGATAGTCAGTATTGCCCAGCGACAGCCCCGAAACCTGAAGGATCTGGAGAAGGTCTGTATGGAGGAGTGGGCCAAAATCCCTGCTACAGTGTGTGCAAACCTGGTCAAGACCTACAGGAAACGTATGATCTCTGTAATTGCAAACAAAGGTTTCTGTACCAAATATTAAGTTCTGTTTTTCTGATGTATCAAATACTTATGTCATGCAATAAAATGCCAATTAATTACTTAAAAATCATACAATGTGATTTTCTGGATTTTTGTTTTAGATTCTGTCTCTTACAGTTGAAGTGTACCTATGATAAAAATTACAGACCTCTACATGCTTTGTAAGTAGGAAAACCTGCACAATCGGCAGTGTATCAAATACTTGTTCTCCCCACTGTATACACCTGTTCTGAATGACTTCAGAGTCTGCAACACCACTAAGCAAGGGGCACCACCAAGCAAGCGGCACCATGAAGACCAAGGAGCTCTCCAAACAGGTCAGGGACAAATTTGTGGAGAAGTACAGATCAGGGTTGGGTTATAAAAAAAATATCCAACACTTTGAACATCCCACGGAGCACCATTAAATCCATTATTAAAAAATTGAAAGAATATGGCACTACAATAAACCTGCCAAGATAGGGCCGTCCACCAAAACTCACAGACCAGACAAGGAGGGCATTAATCAGAGAGGCAACAAAGAGACCAAAGATAACCCTGAAGGAGCTGCAAAGCTCCACAGCGGAGATTGGAGTATCTGTCCATAGGACCACTTTAAGCCGTACACTTCACAGAGCTGGGCTTTACAGAAGAGTGGCCAGAAAAAAGCAATTTCTTGAAGAAAAAAATAAGCAAACACGTTTGGTGTTTGCCAAAAGCCATGTGGGAGACTCCCCAAACATATGGAAGAAGGTACTCGTTTGGTGTTTGCCAAAAGCCATGTGGGAGACTCCCCAAACATATGGAAGAAGGTACTCTGGTCAGATGAGACTAAAATTGAGCTTTTTGGCCATCAAGGAAAACGCTATGTCTGGCGCAAACCCAACACCTCTCATCACCCCGAGAACACCATCCCCACAGTGAAGCATGTGGTGGCAGCATCATGCTGTGGGGATGTATTTCATCAGCAGGGACTGGGAAACTGGTCAGAATTGAAGGAATGAGGTACTACTTAAGTAGTGTTTTGGGGTATCTGTACTTTACTTTACTATTTATATTTTTGGCAACTTTTATTTCACTACATTCCTAAAGAAAATATTGTACTTTTTACTCCATACATCTTCCCTGACAACCAAAAGTACTCGTCTCATTTTGAATGCTTAGCAGGACAGGAAAATTGTCAAATTCACGCACTTATCAAGTGAACACTTGGTCATCCCTACAGCCTCTGGCCTGGCAGACTCACTAAACACAAATGCATCTTTTGTAAATAATGTCAGAGTGTTGGAGTGTGCCCCTGGCTAGCCATACGTTTTAAAAACAAGAAAATGGTGCCGTCTGCTTTGCTTAATATATGGAATTGTAAATGATTTATACTTTTACTTTTACTTTTGATACTTAATTATATTTTAGCAATTACATTTACTTTTGATACTTAAGTATATTTAAAACCAAATACTTTTAGACTTTTACTCAATTAGTATTTTACTGGGTGACTTTCACTTTTACTTTAGTCATTTTCTATTAAGGTATCTATACTTTTACTCAAGTATGACAATTGGGTACTTTTTCCACCACTGATTACACCCAAATACAAAAAGAGTTCTACACACACACACACACACACACACACACACACACACACACACACACACATATACAATACAATACAATACAATACAATACAATACAATACAACAGAACAGACATTAATTCGGGTTGTGTCTGAACATGTACATTTCGAATGACACAATCTGTCCTTATCAGTCGCTCCAGGCGAAAACACTATCAGTCATTGTGTTTTTATTTTTAGAGGGCTGGGCAGCCTGCTCTCTTAGGCAACTCATCTATTGATCGGTGAGAGTAGAGAGTGGAATTCTGTCCTCTGGATGTTGGTAGTTTAAGCCTCTCATCATGACCTCAAACGAGTCAATGTAATCATGTCTTGTCTGGTGGTGGTTTAAACAGGATATCTTTTGGACTTTTTAAAGCTTTTGTTTTTGGCTTTGTTTAGTTAACAAATGTGCTAAGTAAGCTGTTCCAGTTACTACCTTATTTGCATATGGATAATGACCAGTCCCTTTTAGGCATGTGTGTGAGTCACACAAACAAACAATTGGTACCGCAGATTTGCATTGAATGGTCATTGATGATGAATGAGTTTTAAATTGATAGGTCTGATGTCAAGGGTGTCAAAGTAATTTGTGGGGGGGCCATTTTGTAAACATAATGGTCTGTAGGGCCACACATTGGCAAACAAAAAGTTGATTTACATGCCTCTATTTACAGTATAGTGTCTGCCTCAACAGCATTACATGTGAATTCACTTCTATTGCGCAGTTGGAAGTACACGTCTGGGCACACATTCAACCAGATGGCATGCTATAAAATGGCCCCCAGGCTGCATGTGTGACAGCCCTACCTCACACTCAGACTGACTGTAGTGAAACTGGGGGACAAGGCCTACATATGATCCATAATAATCAATGATAATAGGCCAGTAAGTGCGCCAGTAGAGGCCAATGGTAACCCCACACTTATAACAATAATCCACATCAATAGGCTAAATGAACTGCACTAATGTTCTTGTTCCAGCTGTGTCGTTTCGATCCTGTTCTGCATTCACAAGGACAATTGTCTGTCTCGCGCTTTCAATTGGTTCGATGAAACACCATTACATCAGGATTCGATGCGGTTTGACTGATGTTGGGTCAGGGATGTGGCATATCCCTTCCACTGTCACACAGCTATTGTAAAGTTGGAGGGCGAGGGAGACAGATGGATAGCAACAAGACGAGAAGCTGATAAACTGTCCAGAATAACTTAACAGCTGAATACTTCATTGAGATAATTACTTTCCCCTTTCAGCAGTCACAACTTTGGGTTAGTTAATTTGATTGTTTTTTTTACCAGACCCTTTTTGGACGTTTAGGCATTCGTGGTGCGCATATCTTGAAGGATTTCTTATTAATTTCTCATTCATACAGAACATAAGTAACACCAGTAACCCGCTGACAGTGGGATGGTTGTTCATCTTCTGCTCTGGAGCTATGATCTCTGAGGCTGACAGACAGGGAGCAGTTAGACCCAAGAGGTCACCGTCAGACGGGCACAGGGATAGGGACAGGGACCGCAGCCCCAGACGGAGAGCAGAAGCTGATCAACACTATTTACAGGCGAGACATCAGGAGGGCATCGACGACCTCCCTGCAGGGAAGAGACAAATGATGGAGAAGTTTTTCACTGATGTTCATAGTCCTCCTCCAGGTGAGATGAAACCAGGGAAGCACCGCCATCACAACCCCGATCATCACCACCAGGATCAAGAAAGGGAAACACACAGGTAAGATCACTTTTGAGTTTCCCTTTTATTAAAGTTTCCTTTTTGAAACAGTAATGAGGAATGCACATTTGATGAAGACTACAATTGAGTGTGGTTATTGAATGAATACATCATTACTACTTAATCTCTCCATATCAGCTACAGCAGGTTACGGGACAATGATAGACGCAGCAGTGAAAGCCACGGTCACCACCATTACCATGGTAACAATCTCCAAGACGACCAGGAGCAACCCCATAGACGCCACCATCATCATCATTATCCTCAGCACCTTCATCACGACGACGAGATGTCGGACCACCACACCACCGTCACCCTCTCCAGAGCATCTTCCTCCTCCCTCTCATCTTCCTCCTCCGACTCTTCCACCGAATGGTCCTCTGAGGCTGGCATTGACGACAAGTTCTCCCTGAAGCACGCCAGTCGGCCGCAGCATACCATGTCCTGCTCCAACATTGCGGGAGGACAACAGTTCCGGGAGGACGACAGCGAGCTGCAGGTGTACGCCACCATCAAACAGGGGCGAATGCACAGAGGAGGCAGTCCTGGGACCCATCCTCAGGCCCAGGGGAGGGGAGGACACGAGCCCGGCTACTCCGAGCTACACCGGGGCCACAGCCGCAGTGAAGAGGGGCTGCTGCAGATCACAGGAACTGACAGAGGGAAAGCACGGACATCCCCACACCTGAAGCACGGACCCCTCTACAAGACAGCCAGCCTGGGCCGGAGCCTGGCCTTCAGTGAAGAGGTCCTGGCTGGGCCAAAGAGGGCGGTGTCCTCCATCCAGCTCCCCAGTAAAGGCATCCTGAAAAACAAGGAGGCTCCGCGGGACATCCGCAAGGCCAAGTCCATGGAGGTGCTGTCCCCCCGGGTGGCAGGCAAGGCAGCAGGGCCCAAGGGGAATCAGGATGTGGAGGCTCTGAAGGATGCAGCCAGGCAGAGCATGGTGAAGGGGAAGATACAGTTCTCTGCCTTCCTGGATGAGATCACTAAACAGGTCATCAGCCCCGCCCGTCTCAATACTCTGGGGGTCCCTGTCGAGACTGTAGGACCGTGTCCAGCCAAAGCCCCAGCATCCCCCAAATCTCAACCGAAAAGTCAGCCCCAGCTTCCCTTGAAAAAGCAGGGAGATGGGCAGGGGGAACAGAGGGAGCCGGCTACTAAACCGCAGGCTCTGCCTAGGAAACTGAGGAATGGCTCTGACGCACGGTCACGGAAAATATCTCTCCCTGCAAAGTTTGGGTATGAAAGCAAGAACCACACTCCTCGTCTAGGCAGCCCCCCAACCCGCCACTCCAGCCAACCCTACCCACCCCACCCACCAGCTGGCTATGAAGACCAACCAGCCTCCCTGCCTGACTTCCAGGGTCCTGTCGGTAATAGGCATGGGCGGTACGGGCCACTTCTTACAGACGGCACTGTCAGCTCCAGCCCTGAGCCCAGCCATCACAAACACCGGAGCTACAAACACCTTGACCAGAGCCACAGGCCCAGCCACAGCCCACCTTCATCTCCACACACCCAGCAGCCTCAGCTACCCAACCGCGCCCCGATCCGCACACACTCCCCTCCTCCAGTACCAGGACCCGAGTCGGAGTCTCCCTCCAGCAAGTCTGACTCGTCCCGGAACAGAGAACGAGACACGGCCAGCCCCAGCTCCGAGCAGAGCGACCGCCACAGCCAGTCAACCTACCGCTGGCATCCTAAACCACACAGGGTGAGAAATAAATGATGTCAACTACAGATGTAGGATCTTAATTTTTGCCAGTTTGCTACAGCAGGAAAATAATCCTGCAGCAACAGGAAATGTGAAGTCTTATGTAGATTATAATGAATGGACATTTTTGTAGGGGTTGATACATTTTTCGTTAGTGCAAATCAAGTCTGAAATTTCTAAGTGGAAATTACAAACTTTAGAAGCCTTTAAAAAACGTAAATACAATACAAGTTTGTATTTCCTGCTTTGCAGGAAAATTCTCAGAAACAAAAGTGTGATCAAATTAAGATCCTACATCTGTATGCCGATGGAGTCAAAGGGTCGAAATACATACTATAGATAGTAGGTCCTAACTGTAGAGTTAGGTAAATCATGCATTGATGTCATTATGATCCCCAAGTAGGATTTGTCCCAAAGTTCTTTAATGTTCTCAAAGTGATTCAAACCACACAGGGAGTGTCAGTTGATGTCCTAAACCACAAAGCAGCAGTTATATAAGGAGAACTCAAGCGTCATCCTCTGTCTGTGACGCTTGTCCATACTGAACCATGTTAGGTAACGAGTAACCTTTATAGGCATTGTGTTGCATTGGGAACAACACGCTACCCAACCCGAGAGGGCCAGAGTGCCAGCTAGCACAGAGAGGGCCTGAGTAACCCTGCTGCGGCTCTGGCTTTATTAACCTCACTGACCCATATCTGACACACAATCAATAGCTTTCCTGGAGCGTATCAACTAAAGTTCAATAATCAATCCCTTTGGCTCTGTTATGTCCCTGTCATTCTCTCTACCCTTTTCATCTCTGTCCAAAAAACATTCAATTCAGTTTATGAAACTTTATTAGAAAGTGAAGAAACTGCACTGTACATTGATAATAACATGACTAATACAGCTAATATAACTGTATTAAAAGCTATTACATTAGAAAATCATTGACAGTTATCTCTAATCTTCTCTTCTCTTGTGCTGTCTCTCGCCATAGGCCTTGACGGGTGACATAGGCCAACTCCAGTGAGTGGGATTTTTTTCCTTCTCCTCCTCATCCTCTCCTCTTGTTTATCGATGCACTTTAAAGAACATCCTTTTTATTGTGAAATGTCACTGGATATCGATTCCACTATTGGCTTACAGAGCTCTCTCATCACCTCTATCAGTAAAGATGGATGAAGAACATGTTTAGATAAGCTGTATGAAAAATGTGTGTAACAATGGTACAACGCACAGCGTTCAGTCTGGATTACTTAGCTATGTGAAATCTCTAGAAGCTGACCTGAGCTGCATCTAATGTGCTAAAATGGCCACCTTAGGAAATGTGACTGCATTTCTTTAATAAAACTCCATCTCCCATGATCCTCCTGTGTGTAAATAGGGCACTGCAGGATGAAAATGCTGAGCTGCACCAGAACCTGATGCAAACAGTGGTCTGCATTGAGAGCCTGGAGGAGGAGCTATCCAGGGCCAGGGAGGAGCTAAGCCACATGAAGGAGAAGTTCAAGAGGTCAGGGCTCATGATAATATGATGACGGCAGTGGAGGCTGGCAGTGGAGGAGCTATAGGAGGACGGGCATACAACATGGGCCCAGAATTCATAGCCAGACCCTTGCTTATGATGCTGTGTCTCTCTCTGCTGCAGGCTCCAGGACACATACACAGGTACCCAGCACACCAACAGCCTTCTGGGGGAAAAACTGCACTCAGCGGTAAGAATCTGGTCAAACATGACAGACTGAGAGACAAAGACAAAGACAGAGAGAGAGACTGAGAGAGAGACAGAAAGAGACAGCGACTGAGAGACAGAGAGAGAGACAGACAGAGAGAGAGAGAGACAGACAGAGAGAGAGAGACTGAGAGAGAAAGAGAGACAGAGAGAGAGAGAGACAGAGAGACAGAGAGACAGAGACTGAGAGATAGAGAGAGACTGAGAGACAGAGAGAGACAGAGAGAGAGAGACAGAGAGAGACTGAGGATATCTTATCTAGGTAACACTGTGGGCCCTGGCCAGGTAACACTGTGGGCCCTGGTCTATAACTAGTTTGTCCAGGTCAGGTCATATGGTCGAGAAAGACTCCTGCCACTATACAAACTCATTTCCCCACCCAGGCAAAGAAACATACACTGCTCTGAATATCCTTCTCCCGCTCTGTCACCTCTACAACACACAGTGTTGTGTTGACTTACAGTAGCTTGCAAAAGTATTCACCCCCCTTGGCATTTTTCCTATTTTGTTGCCTTACAACCTGGAATTAAAATATTTTTTTTGGGGGGGGGTTGTATCATTTGATTTACACAACATGCCTACCACTTTGAAGATGCAAAATATTTGTTCTTCTGAAACAAACAAGAAATAAGACAAAAAAACGGAAAACTTGTGCGTGCATGACTATTCACCCCCCCAAAGTCAATACTTTGTAGAGCCACCTTTTGCAGCAATTACAACTGCAAGTCTCTTGGGGTATGTCTCAATAAGCTTGACACATCTAGCCACTGGGATTTTTGCCCATTCTTGAAGGCAAAACTGCTCCAGCTCCTTCAAGTTGGACTGGTTCCGCTGGTGTACAGCAATCTTTAAGTCATACCACAGATTCTCAATTGTATTGAGGTCTGGGCTTTGACTAGGCCATTCCAAAGTGTTCGAAACCACCCGAGTGTTGCTTTAGCAGTATGCTTAGGGTCATTGTCCTGCTGGAAGGTGAAACTCTGTCCCAGTCTCAAATCTCTGGAAGACTGAAACAGGTTTCCCTCAAGAATTTCCCTGTATTAAGCGCCATCCATCATTCCTTCAATTCTGACCAGTTTCCCAGTCCCTGCCGATGAAAAACATCCCCACAGCATGATGCTGCCACCACATGCTTCAATGTGGGGATGGTGTTCTCGGGGTGATGTGAGGTGTTGGGTTTGCTCCAGACATAGCTCAAATGTATTCTCATCTGACCAGAGTACCTTCTTCCATATGTTAGGGGAGTCTCCAACATGCCTTTTGACGAACACCAAACGTGTTTGCTTATTTTTTTCATTAAGCAATGGCTTTTTTCTGTCCACTCTTCCGTAAAGCCCAGCTCTGTGGAGTGTACGGCTTAAAGTGGTCCTATGGACAGATACTCCAATCTCCGCTGTGGAGCTTTGCAGCTCCTTCAGGGTTATCTTTGGTCTCTTTGTAGCCTCTCTGATTAATGCCCTCCTTGTCTGGTCTGTGAGTTTTGGTGGGCGGCCCTATCTTGGCAGGTTTATTGTAGTGCCATATTCTTTCCATTTTTTAATAATGGATTTAATGGTGCTCCGTGGGATGTTCAAAGTTTCTGATATTTTTTTCATAACCCAACCCTGATCTGTACTTCTCCACAAATTTGTCCCTGACCTGTTTGGAGAGCTCCTTGGTCTTCATGGTGCTGCTTGCTTGGTGATGCCCCTTGCTTAGTGGTGTTGCAGACTCTGGAGCCATTCAGAACAGGTGTATATATACTGAGATCATGTGACAGATCATGTAACACTTAGATTGCACACAGGTGGACTTTATTTAACTAATTATGTGACTTCTGAAGGTAATTGGTTGCACCAGATCTTATTTAGGGGCTTCATAGCAAAGGGGGTGAATACATATGCACGCACCACTTTTACGTTATTTATTTTTTTTAATTTTTTGAAAGAAGTTATTTAGAATTGTTTTTACTTCACCAATTTGGACTATTTTGTCCATTACATGAAATCCAAATAAAAATCCATTTAAATTACAGGTTGTAATGCAACAAAAAAGGAAAAACGCCAAGGAGGATGAATACTTTTGCAAGGCACTGTATGTCGTCTGCTCTGTTCTGTCCTTGAAGACTGAGAGCACAATTAGTACTACTGCTATACCATCTCTAGAACAAACTGTACTGAATATGTTGAGTCATGTCCTCTGCTCTATCCCTGCAGACCGAGAGCCTTAGCTCTGAGAGGAAATATATGGTGCAGCGTATCACCCATCTCAGCACAGAGCTGGAGCAGGCCAACGCCACCGTCGCCTCTCTGGAGAACATCAATGTGAGCACAGCACCATCTACTGAGCAATATATGAACTAAAACCCACACTAGCTTTGTTCATGTACTGGCAACAGAAAGAGTGGTGGAAAGACAATATGATGATTTGTAAAGTTGATAGTGGCCTTACATTAAAATACTGTATCCATAATCTCCTCAACTCGTGTTCAGCTCATTGCAGACTACATGATCATTTCTTGTAACTCCTCTACTGGTTTCTCTATGTCTGTTGTACTGTATGAACTGAGAGGATGTCTGTGCTGCCCTCCAGGTTCCCTGTCTGATCAAGGAGCTCCTAGAAAAGCACTTTGACTCTGGAGACGCTGTCAAGCAGTTTCTGAAGAACGCCTTGAAAACCGGCCAATCTACGGGCGACATCGAATCATTCACTCCAAAACTGGAGCAGAAGCCGTCTGATTGGCCAGGCGTAGGACTGAGGGAGTTTGAGGCGGGTCCACAAAAGGTCACTGCTTTTATGCCCTGCAAGCAGGAGGAGGAGGGGTTTGGGGTGATAGGTCAGACAGGAAATGAGGATTCTCGCCCGATGAGTCCCCCTTTCTCCGTCGCTGACATCAGTATGGCTATCTATAAGAAGATAGCTGCCAGCCAAGCGGCAAGACAGCCTCGGCCTTCCAACTACCAACTTCACACTGACACCCCTCCCAACCCCTACCCTCTGGTGGAGTTGGGTGCAGGGGGTGCAGGAGGTGCAGGAGGTGCAGGGGGGGAGGGTTACCTTGTGCCTTCTGTCAAGGGGGGCGTGGCAGAGGCAGGGAGAGCAGCTGAGAGTAAGCAGGGTGCTGTTGTTGATGTGTCCTATCTGACGGCCCAGAGGGTTCTGGATGACTTCCTGCACCAGCTGACGCACCCAGAGGATGGGAGTGGAGGTGGGGGGGAGGGGGCACAAGGCCAACATGGGAGGGGGAAGAACTGACGAGAGGGGGGCGGAGTGAAAGGAACCTATGAACTTCTGTAATTGTAACCTAATCTTGTATAGGCTAGGATTGTTCAAATTGTATTGGTTTCTTTGTGATGGTTTGTTTGTGATGTTTGAGGCCTGTAGTTCTGCATTTATTTGACTCACTAAATGTCACTATACATTTGAGTGATGGTATTGTAAATATTACATTCTGTTTCCTTCCCAAATGTCTTGTTGTGCGGTGGTAAAGAAAGTATTAGACTTAAACAATTATTTTACGTATATATAGGATGTAATTATTAATTCAAGTTTGCAATGTGGTACAGTCCCTCCTTTCCCTTATGAAGTGATGCAGAATTGAAATAGTTTTTTTGTCGTAGAATTTTCTATTTTGTAACAATGACTGCTATTTTGTAAGCTCCAGTAAGCCAATGAAGTAACCTTCATATCTGAATAACATCGATCCAGCTGCTATTAACAGATTACCCCATGTGTTTTGGGCTACTATGTCACATTACCTAGATTTTAACCTTTATTTGAAACCTTATCCAGAGATGTGAATTACACCAGAAAATAAAGCAGTTGTCTGAGGATGGAGCTGGACCATCTGACATGAAAAGAAAAGGGGACAGTTTGATGAAAAAGCTTTAAATAAAGGTTAAAATCCAGGTCTTGTGACATGATTGTCCAAAACACAGGGCCTTACTTATGAATGCTATGCTGTCCATCCTAATAAACTCTCTTAGCTAAAACTGTATAAAGTTTCTGTCACCCCCCCCCAAATACGTTTCATGTTGTAGATCAATAAAATGACTAATTCTAAACATGTCTGACAAGGTTTCTTGATTTGTCTTTCCCAAACATTACCCACTTCCTGTGTTAAGCCATCACTCTCTCTCCTATTCTAACCTATACTGAACATGGGGTGCAGCCATGGGAATGAGTTTTTCCCTACAGAAGGGCTTTATTACAGACAGAAATACTCTCCTCAGCATGGATGTCCTGGGCTGGCGTGGTTACATGTGGTCTGCGGTTATGAGGCCGGTTGGACGTACTGCCAAATTCTCTAGACGTTTTAGAGGCAGCTTACAGTAGATAAATGAACATTCAATTATCTGGCAACAGCTCTGGTGGACATTCCTGCAGTCAGCATGCCAATTGCACGCTCCCTCAAAACTTTAGACATCTGTGGCATTGTGTTGCCCTGCCCCCCTGTCTACCGGTCTACCGGTCTATCTGTCTATCTGTCTATCTGTCTGTCTACCTGTCTACCTGTCTATCTGTCTATCTGTCTGTCTACCTGTCTATCTGTCTACCTGTCTATCTGTCTATCTGTCTATCTGTCTATCTGTCTATCTGTCTATCTGTCTGTCTACCGGTCTATCTGTCTATCTGTCTATCTGTCTATCTGTCTGTCTACCTGTCTATCTGTCTATCTGTCTACCTGTCTACCTGTCTATCTGTCTATCTGTCTATCTGTCTATCTGTCTGTCTACCTGTCTATCTGTCTATCGGTCTACCTGTCTATCTGTCTATCTGTCATAACCGTCAAATCCAACCTGTAGGCCCAGTGCTGGTTTGCTGATCAGACACTGGCCTGCTTTCCCATTGGTGCTCCTGTCCTAATAGGATCCCAGGGACTATGATGGGGGGATTACCATATCCATACTGTACCCTCGACATTGGCCAGTCCGTGTCCTCCACCATGGGCACAGCAGGAATTTAGGGGTGCACCTTGACCACTCACAGACCACACCAGAGGGGTTCCATCCAAAACAAACGGGTGTTGTCATCGTCAGTAATTGTGTGAATCGAAGAGTCACTGTCGTGGTGCAACCATAACCTGATGATTTGAAGGATCATAGTTTTGCTGTCAAAAAAGGACGTGGATGATCAAATATCTATTAGATTAATTATTTTCTTGGCCTTCAGTTTTTGTCTCACGACTTCAATTGGATTACTACGGAGATTTCTAATATTTTCCTTTCTACGTGAACATTTTGGATTATCGTCCCAACCCAAACTTGTCCTTCACCATCAGACGGATCTCCCTTCTTATCTCAACCCACATGAACAACTTACAGGAGATCAACCTGATAATAACTCACCAACGCACCCTGGAAAGGCCAAGCCATCCTTCTCTGTCTAATATAACAACCTTCGCATAACCTACTCCTATGAATCGCGGTAGTCCACCTTCTTTATTGCCCAGAACTTTCCTTCTTTGAACCTACCAATATTCTTTCCCCATCCTTCACTGTTATCTCTCTCTACTTGATTATCCCAACATCTCCTCCCTCCGTCCTTTTCTCTCTCTCTGAGTCCTGTGTTGGTTGTTGTGAGCACCAGCCATGGCGCTGCTGAAGCTGCAGTTCCCCCTGCAGAGGCGTGTGCGTCTGGCCCAGGGTCTGTGGCTGCTGTCCTGGCTGGCCGTGCTGGCTGGGGCCTTCACCTTCTCCCTGGGAGTGTACCTCAAGACCGAGCTGCTCCGCAGGGCAGAGGTACTGGCTGACACTATAACACACACACAGCACACACACCTGTTCACACACGACACACACACGTTTCGGGCACTCGGCATACACACGGCACACACACAAAAAAAACTGTCTGTGTCTCTACTGCTCCTGTGGTCTATCCTGGCTGGTTCCACTGTGTTGTGTTTTCAGTGTGTCTCTCAGCGTGGCGTCTGTCTCACGCCTTCACCTATCAAAGCTTTATTCACACCGGGCTGTCATGATGCAGTTGCCTTGAATCTGGACAAGCTTTGTGTGTGTGTGTGTGTGTGTGTGTGTGTGGGGGGGGGGGTATTGGTGTGTGGCTGTGTGTGTGGGGGGAGGGGCGTATTGGTGTGTGGCTGTGTGGGGGGCGTATTGGTGTGTGGCTGTGAGTGTGGAGGGGGCGTATTGGTGTGTGGCTGTGTGTGGGGGGGGGGGGGGGGGGGGGGCGTACTGAAAAAGAACAAGAACGTCTACATTCCTGAACTCAATAACACCAATACAACAGAAAAAACTGACAAATTATGTAGTTGATTACACTTTACATAGTGTCATAGTACTGAAGTGGATGTAGTGGCGCAATAGAAGTAGTTATGTAGGGTGCTGACTACCATTACTCATATTGCTTTATATGAACATACATAAATGGAATCATCATCATGGAATGGTACATGCCAGAACATATCCTCTGATGCTTAGCTCTATAATGTAACATAGATAGATTGTTTCGATGTAGTTTATTACGGCGTTATAACTAGTATACTGCCTTTGTTATTAATTTGTTATAACTGGTATAGTACAGTGACCCTATATTTGACCTTTGACCCTCCAGGTGATGGACAACACAGAGATCCACGTGGTGCCCAACATTTTGATGCTGGTGGGCTTGGTAACCATCGGGATCAACCTGTTTGCTGGGCGGGTGTGTCAGGACTCTCTGGACTCTGCCCGGTTCCCCCCCTGGAAGCCCTTCCTGCTGCCCTGGTATGGCCTGGCGTGGATGGTGTGTGTCTGGCTGCTGTCTGCTGTGGTGCTCAGCTACGCCCTGCAGGGAAACCTCGAGGAGTCCCTCAAGGTAAGGGCCTCTGGGATGGGATGAAGAAGGATGAGACGGTGAATGCAACTGAATAACATAATGACAACACTCGGAGCCTATCTCAATTAGTTTTTCTGTGATTCCTCGCATCCTATCTCCTCGCCTGCCCCACATCCGTATTGGAGGAGAAGGAGAAGGTCAAGGTCAAGGTCAAGGTCAAGGACCCCCCCTCTTCCTCCAATTCATTTTGAGAAGACGGCAAGGACATAGGAAATGAGGAATCCAGGAAAGATGAATTGAGAACAAGCCTTGACTTCCTGGTCTCTTTTATGACATAATCTCTGTCCAATCCAAGGTGGGCCTGAGGAACGGTATCCGGTTCTACCGGGACACGGATGTCCCGGGCCGCTGCTTCCAGAAGGAGACCATTGACAGACTACAAATGGAACTGCATTGCTGCGGCAACACCAACTACAGGGACTGGTTCGAGGTGCAGTGGATCAGCAACAGATACCTGGACTTCACCTCTAAAGAAGTCAAGGAGTGAGAGAGGGGGATGGAGGAGGGAGAAGGGAGAAGGGGGGATGGAGGAGGGAGGAGGGAGAGGGGGGGATGGAGGGGGGAGGGACAAAGGTGGGTATGAGGGGCAGTGGGGATGGAGGGGGGAGTAGAGGGAGTGAGAGAGGGGGCTGGATCGGGGTCGAGAGGGGTTGATCGCTTTGGGGAGGGGGGGGATGGGGGGTAGGAGGCTGGATGGCAGGGGTGAGGGGGTGTCATGTTGCGGGGCTTCATTGTCGGGGAGGAGGGGGGTTCTTTTATGGAGCAGCGGGGTTTCTTATCTCTTTCGTGAGTGATTTGGGGTGTTGTGGGACAAGGTGGGGGTGAATGCGAAAGTGGAGAGAGAGGGCGTGGAGAGGAGAGGTGAAGTTAAGCCCACAAACCACAGTTGTCTGACTTGTCTGAGGTGATGATGACTCACATGGGATTTCCATACACAATGTATCCAACTGCCATCTCATAAATGTGTCAGTCTTCATCAAAGCCAGTGTCATTTATTCAAGGTAAAAATGTACAATGGAAACACTCAATCAAACTGTTACCCTATTTCCTCTCTAGTCGTGTGCGTAGCAATGTGGACGGTCGTTACCTGATGGATGGAGTCCCCTTCAGCTGCTGTAACCCCGGCTCCCCTCGGCCCTGCCTCCAGAACCACCTGACTGACAACGCTGCCCACTACAACTATGAGCACCAGAGTGAGGAGCTGAACCTGTACAACCGCGGCTGCAGAGAGGCGCTGGTCGACTACTACATGGGCCTCATGAACACCATCGGCCCCGGGGTACTGTCGGTCATCTCCCTGCAGGTATACATATGCACAAACACAGAGAAAATATGTACATTGACCTTTGCCCTGTAATGATAAGAGTGTCTGCTAAATGATGTAAATGTAATGTGGTGACAGTAGTTTTCAGTGGTGATTTTGTTACCATCAACCTCTGCCCCTGTGGTAAGGTGTCTGTGGATATACATTTTGTAACCTTGGCTTTGAGTTGAACCTTGACCCCTGTGACATCACCTCCACAGATGTCAGTGTTGGTGAGCCTGCGTTACCTGCAGACGGCTCTGGAGAGCATGGACCCGGAGAACCCTGAAGCTGACAGTGAGGGCTACATCCTGGCGAAGGGGGTTAAGGAGACCCTGATGGATGTCAAGACCACTGTGTTCAAACTGCTGCAGTTCGGACAGGTAGTGTACTACAGTACCCATAATGCTCTGTGAAACATATCAGGGGTGTGTTCAGGGACGTGGAACGCTCTAAACGTTTCAGATAGAAAGATAATAAATAGAGCTGACAAAATGTCCCTAGTGGATCTGACAGACCAATCACACAGATGTAGGATCTTAATTTGAGCCAGTTTGCTACAGCAGGAAAATAATCCTGCAGCAACAGGAAATGTAAATTATTATGTGGATTATAATTAATGTACATTTTTGTAGGGGTTGATACATTTTTCGTTAGTGCAAATCAAGTCTGAAAATTCAAAGTGGAAATTTTCAAACAAGGTTGCATTTCCTGCTGTGCAGGAAAATTCTCAGCAACAAAAGAGTGTTCAAATTAAGATCCTACATCTGTACCTGTTCTTCACAAAACGTTAATATCTTAACATTCTGTAACAATACATCCTCCTGATCAGACCGCTGGTGTAGCATGATGTACTACAGTACCCACAATGCTTTGTGTAATGCATTTGGCTGTATCTCACTAAAGATGTTCCAGAGAAGATAACCTAATGGTGTCCCGTCTCTTTATCAATACAGGTGGAAGCAGGTGATGAGGCAGAAGCAGGGGCAGACGGCGAGAAGGCAGCCACGTCCAGCTAGATGGAAATATAATATATAACCATGCTCTGCACAGACAAGACTTGACAAAATCTAACAATGCAGATGTTCTTAAACCTTTTGTGTCCTGTTGCTCTTAATGGACAATAAATCAAGCCTTGGGAGGGGGGGGGGGGATGTTTAATGTGGTCAAGAACAATTAAAGTCAAAACGGAATACTGAAAGGCACCCAAGAACACACACATATATTTAGTAAATACTCAAAAACAATATTCACATACTGGTACATAAGTAAATTAAAACACACACACACATACACTTTGAAGTACACTAATGTTCTGATGATCTTTGATTCAGATCAGACAAAATCTAAATCCCACAGGTAACAGAAGAAGGCCTACAGTCAATTTAATACTGGACTGGCTATAGAGTTTGTTAACGCACTTCTAAGTAACATGTTAAGGTCATGTGAAGTTGGCATCAGGCATTTAATATATTAAAGTTAGTTGCTTTTAATGGATTTGCAGAGTTCAGTCCTTTTGTACTAGATGGATAGATGGATAGATGGATGGATGGATAGATGGATAGATGGATAGATGGATAGATGGATAGATGGATAGATGGATAGATGGATAGATGGATAGATGGATAGATGGATAGATGGATAGATGGATAGATGGATAGATGGATAGATGGATAGATGGATAGATAGATAGATAGATAGATAGATAGATAGATAGATAGATAGATAGATAGATGTAGGCCTAGGCTACTGTAGGCCTGTGAGAGTATGGAGCAGAGTGACTGTACAATGTCATCTGGCCTGCTAGGTATACTCTGACACCTCTCATAACACCTTCATAATCCTAATATAGTTAATCCCTAGACTACTGCTACAACATTTCCCTGCACAGCAACAGAAACACTGGAGATGTATGACCATCAAACATACCATAACAATGGACAGGGTTTGGAGAAAGTTCACGTCAAAGTGTGGTCACGTAGAAAGTTGTAATTACATTTTCCATTATGTTTTGACAACAAACAAAAAAATGTCGAGTGCATTATAAACTGTGCAATATCTTACACATAGCAAACTTGTTTTATTTTGTATTGGCTGTTTATTTTGTTCCTTTGTTAAATGGTTAATACACTCTGATCTGTGTGTTTTACGACAATGTTCATTCAACAGCTTTGTTAAGTAGAATGTTCATAGATAGTAGACTACCGACCTTTACACCTTATTTCCACCAGGGTTCGCCATTGCATTACACCTGAAAGCGCGTCGAGGCCTACTACTGTACCCTAAATTGTTTAGAGTATATCTTGATCAATCTTGATGCATAGGCTACAAACAGCTGAATAAGTGAACTGTAAAGAAACATTGTTACAAACGTCTAGGCAAGATACCACAGTGCGCACAAAGTAGTCTAATATTTTCCATCCATCTCAAACCGCCTACTCATTTTTCTTTGAGCGCCTTTGTTTTATGGAAACAAACTCACTGGTAAAGGTTGTGATTGTTCCGGGTAGACCTACAACCCTAATGAAATGTGTGCGTTTAGAAATTCCGGTGTGGTTTTGCAACGTGCTCACCACCAGCATTAACTGAAAAAGTGAGATAGAGGAAGAGAGAGGGAGGGGAACTGAAATGACAAACACAGAATGGAATCTCTTTTTCAGTTGTTAGTACAATTGCTTTAATACTGTAGGATATATTTTATTTATATTTTTTATAGAAGTTTGTAAATTCTTTATGCGACACCATGGACTCTAACTTAATGGACATTCTAGAAGAATTCATGGAAAGTGCGTTGGTTACTTGGGTATGTGTCAAAGCTTATTTAAATCACTTTCAGGTGCTATAGTAGTAGGCCTAGATATACGTGATGATGAATAGTCTTTTATAAAACATAAAAACACATAGCCTATTGCTGTTGTTTTGCTTTTATGGAGTATAAATACATTAGAATCCTGTAAATAAATGACGTTTAAATAAAATGTCTTTCTCACATATGAGATTATGCCTTTTTATAAATGATGTATAACTCTTTATTTACAAAAGTTATAAGAACATAAATGGGTTGAACTTGAATCAGATGCTTGTCATAACTTTCGTCACATGAAAAGGACAGCAAACAACACTTAGTTCTCAAACTTCTCCTTTTCACAGCTTTCTCTACACTGGCTCATAGGATGTATCGTGTTGTTTTTCCTTATAGCTGTCACTTCCTATTCCCTATATAGTCATTATTTCTCAGTAAAAAATGACCATCTCGGGTTTCATTGATCTACACCATATATTCTAGATAACACTTTTCTCTGTTAGCAGTGGGTCCCCTTATGGACTCCATAGATATTGTTTAGGTTGTATATTCTGTTTCTATGGTTTCACCCATAAAATTACATATAGCAACTTGTTAATAGAGTAATTTAGGCCTCGATTCAATCCGTAGCGCAGAATATCTGCGTTGTAGCGAGGTTCACATTTAAAGGTAATTTCCGATTGAGCCAACATACACTACATGACCAAAAGTATGTGGACACCTGCTCATCGAACATCTCTTTCCAAAATCATGGGCATTAATATGGAGTTGGTCCCCCCTTTGCTGCTACAACAGCCTCCACTCTTATGGGAAGTCTTTCCACTAGATGTTGGAACATTGCTGCGGGGACTTGCTTCCATTCAGCCACAAGAGCATTAGTGAGGTCGGGCACTGATGTTGGGCGATTAGGCCTGGCTCGCAGTGGGCGTTCCAATTCATCCCAAAGGTGTTCAATGGGGTTGAGGTCAGGGCTCTTTGCATGCCAGTCAAGTTCGTCCAAACCGATCTCGACAAACCATTTCTGTATGGACCTCTCTTTGTGCAGGAAAGGGCCTTCCCCAAACTGTTGCCACAAAGTTGGAAGCACAGAATCGTCTAGAATGTCATTGTATGCTGTAGCGTTAACATTCCCCTTCACTGGAACTAAGGCCGAACCATGAAAAACAGCCCCAGACCATTATTCCTCCTTCACCAAACTTTACAGTTGGCACTATGGATCGGGGCAAGTAGCATTTTCCTGGCATCCGCCAAACCCAGATTCGTCTGTCGGACTGCTAGATGGTGAAGCGTGATTCATCATTCCAGAGAACGTGTTCCGAATGCTCCAGAGTCCACTCCAGCCGACGCTTGGCATTGCGCATGGTGATCTTAGGCATGTGTGCGGCTGCTCGGCCATGGAAACCCATTTCATGAAGCTCCCGACGAACAGTTCTTATGCTGATGTTGCTTCCAGAGGCAGTTTGGAACTCGTCAGTGAGTGTTGCAACTGAGGACAGATGGTTTTTACGCGCTTCAGCACTCAGCGGTTACATTCTGTGAGCTTGTGTGGCCTACCACTTTGCGGCTGAGCCGTTGTTGCTCCTAGACCGGGGCTGCTCTAGCAGGGCAGAAATTTGACGAACTGACTTGTTGGAAAGAAGGCATTCGATGACGGTGCCATGTTGAAAGTTACTGAGCTCTTCAGTAAGGCCATTCTACTGCCAATGTTTGTCTATGGAGATTGCATGGCTGTGTGCTCGATTTTATACACCTGTCAGCAACGGGTGTGGCTGAAATAGCAGAATCCACTAATTTGAAGGGGTGTCCACACACTTTTCTATATATAGTGTATACAGCGTTTACCGTGAATGCAGTCTCCGCGACATTAATTGTCAATCACACTATAAAACGGATCTTCAGCGCTACGGATTGAATTAAAGCCCCTAATAGGATCCCCCTCTCCCTCAGGTACAGCTCTTTGATGATGTAGTGGACAGGGAGGACAACGTCATGCTCTACAACCAGTACATGGAGGTGAACTCCAAGTCCCAGAATTCCCATGAGCGCTACCTGAGGCTGACCAATGGGATCTTTCTCAACGAGGTCATGAGGGTCATGTAAGTTCACACCTTTGCACAGGCTTCAAATGTTGTGGGCAAGGAATGTGTACTGAAGGATTCAATGTAATACATTTATTTTACTTTACCCAATCAAAGGTATTATAGCTGGTGAAATACTGGGTTGGATAGATACCTCTGCCAAGAGGTGAGGGCTTTTATGGCACAAGTAGAAGTGCACACTGGCTCAAGCCCCACTCTGGCTGTTGTACTAAATAAGCCGTGCCTTTCACCTCTGTCTGTCTGTCTGTCTGTGTGTCATTCCCAGAGACCCCAACCCCAAGCTGGAGCATTTGTACCGCAGTGGGAGAGACGACCAGATGCTCAGAGTCCAGAACTTCTCCATCCTCAACCGACACCTCAGGGCCTTCTACCAGGTATTGGTATTTGTGTCGTGTTTGATACACAATCACATCTCAGGAAGAGTAATTTACTGCGCAAGGTCCAGACTTGAGCCTAGGGAGACATCCAGGCAAATCTCTCTGAGAAATGAACTTTAGTCCGATACAATGTACAAAACACACAAAAACATGAGTCTTCACTGTTTCAATTCCTGCTTTTGATAAGTCATTCAAACCCTCCGAACAGTGGAGCATCATGGGAGGGACACCAGCGAGTTTCAAGGAATATTCAGGGAATATTCAGAAATGTTTTGGATACAATTTATTGACAGGACTGTTTGTCATGACAACAGTTCCGTCTTGTTTGGTGTTGCTACGATGTCATTTTGTTTCTTGTGGTTTCACTTCATGCTTTGTATTTCCTGGTCACACTGGCAGTGCTGTAAAACCTTAAACCACCAGCAGCATGTGGTTAATCTGCAGCCTAATTTCTCTCTACCAGGGCTTGTGCCTGAGAACCAAATATAGCCATCATACTACGTAGAAACATACGTGAACAAATAGCCCTATTTTCCCCTCTTACGTCTTCTGTGTTTGTATTCTAAACTGAACTGGCCAGCAGGGTACTAGTGGAAGGTTTTGTCATTTCAATGTTGATTTGAATACAGTAACTGCAATGTGGTTAGGGAAATGACAATCAATAAATACTTTAATCCCTTCAAGCTCTTCGTTTGCTCAAACCCTCTCATTCTGTCTTTAGGAAGACCTGCAGCAGCTGATTCTGATGCCTCTTCCGAACATTGCCATTTTGGGGCAAGACCCCCTAACAGGTAAAAGAGCCTTAAAAGTACAGTACTTTGTTGGGC